GCATGAAAGCACGTCACATTCGCTTCTTTCCGCTGATATGAATCTACTTATTCATTATGAATGCACCGAATCATCCGGGAGGTTCGAGCCGAATCACACGTAAGCAGCTCGTAAAACTATAATAATTATTGTATAGTTATTGTAAACTCCTAATTTGGCTCTCACAACTGTTTGTTCAACATTTCGTGTTACTACTTTCTGACACGCCGTCCGGAATGCGGGCTTCAGAGAAAGATGCCTGTATACTGTACACATGTGAGGACACTACTCATTCATTAAGCCAAACAATGATGGGCAGTGTTCTCTCCTCCCGACTCCCCCAAAACAGTGGGCTGTTTACAGGGGTGGGGACGGGGTGGAGGGTGGGGGGGTGAAGGACTCTGTATGCTAGATGCTTTTTCGTGATAATGCTCTGTTTAACGTTCCTGATCTCAGTGGCTGTGTTCCCCCTTCTCCGATCCAGCGGGTCACACTGAGTCACAAGGCCAGCCAGCGATGACAATGGCATGTTTGTGCACAGGCTGATCTATGGGTAGGCTGTCTGATGTGAAGGGATAAGATGGCACAAGGTGGACACTGGAGTCTCGTGTGCGTGCGAGAAGCAAATGTGAGAACACACGTGAGCCTTTTGGAAACATTCATATATGTTTAAGAGCAGATCCGATTCTTTCACAATGTGCTTTGTTAAGTGGATTCGAACGACTCAGGTTTGTGCTACAAACAGTCTAATCTACGTTCCAAACGCTCGCCCCAGAGTAATATTCATTTGGGTCATGACAGATAAGACAAACGCTTACTGCAACAGAAGGAAACTGTGGGTAACAGACACTTTCGGGCCTCTACAACCCACAGACGTAATCTGCACTTGGTGATTTGATAACTGGAACAGGAAAAGGAAAAATATCTTCAGCAGATGCAACAATATAACAGTCATGAATCCACCCGACGAGCCTCTTGTAAAAAAAAAAAAATTTACCGCCGCGAGAACGGCGCTAAGTGAAAAAGCTGCTAAACCACCATACTTAAATTATTAGGAGTAAAACATCACACATGTTGAAGTGAGCCGGCTATTCCTGCAAACGATGAAATGATCGCGCAGATGACCGAAATCTGTCTCTGAATTAAATTAGATTTAATCCCGTTGTGTTGCCAACTACCCCCCAAACGGATACCAGCACAGCTTAAATGTGGTTATTTAGAGGACGAATGGAAGCAAGGGGATGTGAGAAAATGTCACCTGTTCGACTGACACCGCTTGTAAAACGCTGGAATCAGATTATTTATTGTAGAAACTCGGCGGTGAAAGCAGGAAGGAGGGATGCCGGTGGACTGTGGAGGTCACCGACTGACACCAGCAGCCATTTTCAGGTGGAAACACGGACCTGCATGCCCTCATCTGAACAGGTTCTGCCGTCAACTGTGCTATAGAGAACCTGTGTCGAGCTACTACATGTGAATTCACGCATATGCAAAAGCTCCTTTAATTAGCCTCAGTGCAGAGCTTCATCCTTCACCACTGGCTAGTAAAACCATAGCACTCCCTCATCGTCCCCCTTCCTCCCTCTCTCTCTCCACCACCTCCTTGTTGTCATATGACTGCTGTTATGTGTGTGCAATGGAACACAAAGTTGCTCTGTTAGTCCCCTCTGCTCTGCCCTCTCATCACTCAGATTTGAGTGCTGGAAGTAAGGCCCTCTCACTCGCCGGTCTCAGGAAAACAGACAGGCCCCTGTATGCGACTAGCAGCGACGATTAGAAAAGGAGGGCAAAGAGAGAGAGAGCGAGAGAGTGAGAAAGAGAGAGGGAGGGATGAATTGAGCTGATGTTGTTTTATGTAACACCAAAAGATAACCTAATCCTTATTCATTCACAGGGCTTTTGTTCGATTCAGCTGACAGCCTTTTTCCTCGCCGATGCTTTACTGTTAAGTAATTTATTAGTCCTCTCTACATCAGCGCCTGTCGAAAGAGAAATGGCTGCCAAAACGTGTCTTACAGCTGTTTGTGTGGGGATGACACTCTGTCCCAACTACCTGGCTGGGATTAAAGACCCAAAACAAACACAAGTGCTGAGCCAGCCGAATCAGAGCAGCGCCCCGTCTCGACATGCGGAGTGACAAAGCAGCTGAGACACACGAACCGCAGGGACGCGTCTTCCCCCTTCTGTGGTTTTATGTGGGGTGTTTACCCTCGACTCCGCGTGGTGTTAAAGATCAATTTCCACGTTAAGCCTCACAGCCGCCGAAACAAACGTATAGGAGTTACGTGATAATTCTGCTGGTCCCTCTCCAGGAAATAAATGACACCTCAGATTAATCATTTTATTAAGTAGGCTGCTGAGGGAACTACGCTTGGCTCCCCTGGTACTTAACTGTAATAGAGCTGAGTTTAATTGTCCAAGCTGGTGGTGTGCTCACCTACAAGGTTAAAAATGGCTGAAAGTGCACCGGACGGTGACATTGGCCTCCTCGGTGCGCGAGCTGCCACCTCGGCAACCGCTGTCGCTTTAAAGCCGAGTGTGTGTCCCTGCTGTCCCCTGCCATTATGTCACCCAGTGGAATGGATGTAGCAAGTAACAAAAGAGGTGGAAGGAGGTCAAGTCAGCATAGGGTTCGCCACACTATTGCTCTGCTTTTTATTTCTGCATAAATGCCACTCGAGTTGCGACATGCGTGTACAGCACTGTTTGAACGAAAAGAACAATAATTAGCTGTTGGAGGAGGCCGTGTAATTTATGTGATGTGTATTCTGCTGATTTACAATTCTTGTGACTTGAGGTTTGAGTATTTGGCTCCACAGAGCTACTTAATCAAATCAGAGCAATTCTGGTTTGTTTTTTTTCCGACATTCGGTTCCAACAGTCGGTATGAGGGCATGATGACATTTTTCAGTGTGTGTTTGCGTCTAAAACTTAGCCCATTATGTAAGCGTGTGATTAACCTTTATATTTCACACTGGAACTTGTCATCCATCATTTTAAAGCCAAGGTCATCAGTGACCTCTGACACTTTCTTTTTTTTCCCACCACGTTGCGGAGAGAAACAGAAGATTTTGCAGCTGATATGGAAAAGATGAATTAGACGTGAGTGCAGCTCACAGGGCTCATTAGAGCTTTTGTGCTACAGTGAATGTGACCTTGTTTTGTCTTTCTGATGGTCACCAACCTGTCACTGACTGGCAGTGGTGGGATATATTGAGAGCAGAACAAGATCTCTGCCGGACAAGGACACTGAGATGTGGTTGCATAGACGGGGGGGAGAGAGTGCTGCCTGCAAAACAATGTTTGCATGCAAAACATTTTTTTTGTTGTGCACTGTGGCCCCGATGTTACAGCCCACTGTTTCGTTCTCCAACTGATATGGCAACAACATGACAAGCAGATTTCGGTTACCATCTTAAATCCCAACTTGAAGCCTTAATGAAACCAATATTGCAGATACTTCACAGGTGCTCCAGTAACCTCGTGCTCAGAAAACGCATGAACGCCGTGTGAATGGTGAGTAAATTCAACTTGCAGCTGCCCAGAAGGCTCATTCCATCTCGCGAGCATCACGCTTGATGACAGTATTTCAATTTGTGCTTTTTTTTTTTTTTTTCGGCCGCAAACCCCAACCAGGCGAACGGTTGAGCAAAGACGTGAGTGTAACATTTCTTGATTGAAGAAAAAGAAAAGGCGTGGTGGAATTTCCACCATCTTTGCCTTGATTCACAGATGTCTCAGGGCCTCACGGACACATCCAGCATTCTTTCTGTGTCACATGCTCGAGAGGAGCGCTGTCTTTTTTTCTACCGCCGTGAAATGATCACGGTCTTCCCTTCCCACTCCCACCGCCCCCCCACCACCACCACCACCACCACCGCCGCCGCCACCTCCACCCATCCATCCATCCATCCAATCTGTTCCAAATCTTCTCTTGCCTTCTTTCTCTCTCTCTTGCTCTGTGCTGCATCAACCTCCGCCCCTCTGCCCCATCTGCCTCCCTACTGTTAAACCCCCCCAGCCCCTCAACCCCTCCCTGCACTGGTTCGCTCCTTCTCTCGCTCCCAAGCATGTAACACAAACACACGTACAGTATACTCAAACACACATGCTCTCCTGATGCTACACAACAGATCCCAACCCCCCTACCTCCTCCCCATTGAAAAAAAAAACAAAAAAAAATGATGCTCGGTTGAAAATACTAACGAATGTTGAGACAGAAAATGTCACAAATCGTCCTGTTCTGCCTGCTGAGTAATGAACACGCTCTGCTCTCTCCCTCTTTCGTCCCCTTTCTCGTCGCTGGGATTTATATTCCACAGACACAAACAGCCGGGCGCAAATAAACCCAATGAATCCCAAGTTCAGGATTATTAATTGATGTAAATTCACCCCGTAGAACAGAAGACGAGCAACCTTACAATGTCCCCCATGCCACCGTCGGGACACAAATTTCGCCCGCTTATCCCAGCGCCCTGCAGAGCCCAGCTCCACGGGATCTGTACACCTCCCACTGCACATTCACATCCAATGTCTCGTAGAGCCAGTTGTAAGCACTGAACACCTGATCGTGTGTGATGGCGGCTTTACTCTCTCGTTTCCCCCCCTCTCTTTCTGTTACAGTCGTGGCCTGGACGGAGCGCCGGAGACGTTCGCGCAAACACGCCGCCGATGCATCCTCCACTTGTCCTACATACAGTAATTATAGGAACTAAGCGCCGCGTTCACATAAAAGCATTCTATAAGCACAGAGAGGATGCTCTGGGGAGATGATGAGTCAAATTGCAAGCATAAGATAGCAGCGTCCGTTGGCACAGAGCTAACAGGGTGGAGGAGGGGACTGGACAGGCTGCCTGCTTGCCTGCCTGCCTGCCTGCCTGCCTTGGTGCCATCTCTGAACATCACCTTCCCTACATTATGAGTCGACAGAATGGAATAGCCAAACATCATCTTTGTGGCTTACAGCAGGCCAGCCTTAAGAAGAAGAAGAAGAAAAAAAAAAGGAGAGTAGTCAAGCTTACCGTGTTCACAAGCCAGCATCCATTTACAAAGGATACTGCAGACAAGCCCTTGCAGGGAGAGAAAGGCTCTGTGCAATCCACCTTTAATCCTGCTGCTCCATCTTCATATCTTCCTTCATATTCACGGGGGTCACACACTCTCACACACACTCACACACACACACACATCATCTCTGTCTCTCTCTCTCTCTCTCTCTCTCTCTCTGTGTGTGTGTGTTTCAGCGCCCCTCTTCCTCTTGTCTTATTAGCGTCTGTGTTCTATATCCTCTCTTGTTTGCTCCAAGGCAGTTGAGACACTGCAGCGATGGGGGTGGAGGGTGTGTATATATGTGTGCGTGTGTTTGAGTGTGTCAGAGGCAGAGAGGCAGAGAGAGGGAGTGCAGGGCAGAAATGGAGGGAGGAGTCAGCAGGGATAGAGAAAGAGAGAGAGAGAGAGAGAGAGAAAGGGGAAATGGTCAGGATTAAATCATGAAAGTAACAGAGAGAGAGAGAGAGAGGAGGGGAGAGAAAAAAAAAAACAAGCTTTGATGGGGTAGCTACAGCATCCACCGTGTCTTTATTTCAGGCTATAAAATATACATTTGGTCATTAAGGAATCTGAGCTGCAATGGAGGCAACACAGCGAGCGGCTCCTTGCTTGAGGTGTTATATGCTTAATGACAGGCCGGCAGCAGGATTGGTTGTGATTTCATTGATGACTGAAAAAACATACAAGATAGGGAGAGAGGGAGGAGGGAGGAGGAGGGGACCGGACAGAGGAGGAGAGGAAGGGAGGGGAGAAATGACGACAAAGGAATGGGAGGGGGATTGGACGATGGTGTAATGTGCTGTTTCCGTGCCAACTGTTTCTGTGACAGTGGGACCACTTCCTTTATTGCTATTGGCTATAACCAAGAACTGATAGAGACTTGGGCAAATGAGGCAGCATGTCACAGGGTGTGAATGGGTGGTTCTTTTTTTTTCACATGTTTTCTTCCTCTTCTAGTTCATCTCTGGGAACAACAACAACAGAAAAAAAGAGAGAGAGAGAGAGAGAGAAAAGAGACATGTTCATGTGTGGCGAGAACACATGCATGACCACACAGAATCGCGATGACTGCACCGCTGAAGCACGAACGCTTTGTCATTATGGATGCCACCAGTGTGTAAAGAGACTCCTCCCTTATTTCTAGCACACACACACACCCTAATACACACTCTGTCCGGCATGAAAAAATCCCCAGATCAGGTTGCTCAGGGTGTGTAGTGTAATGCAATTGCCTGGACACCAATACTGGTGTCATGAACTGCGAGATAATTAATCAGCTAGGCCGGAGCAAGTGCACATCTGGTGGGGGTGAACAACTTTGCGGTTCCCTGACCTTTCATCTGGGCCCTTTAATCCGGTCTGGTGTGCAGGTGGTGTATTGTTCCCATTCTTTCTCCCTGTCACTTTCTCCCTCACTGTGCATGACCCCATTCAACGTGCTGCGTATGAATAATCATCGTAAACAACCACATCCTTGCTCTTTAGCAGCCGTTTATTACTGCAGAAGTGTACCGTCTCTCAGTTTTGGTGTTCAACCGGGACTTTCTGACCTCCTCAGAAACGAGAACAGAAACTAAAAACAACGGCGCAATAGCACACTGTAAGCCATGCCCACAAAACTGAAAGCTACCGCAAAGCCTACCGAAACTCCACAGCGTCCCTGCCCGTATAAATCACATTTTTACCTCAACGCCATTTTTCAGGGTCTTCGTCGGTTCACAGAGGACAGCGTACAAAGAAAGTGCCTGTTCAGACAAGACGCCACGTTCAGCAGCCTTGACTCTAAACTAGGTCAGTGTTTCCACTAAGGCTCAATCGTTGCTGTTGACATTTCGCCTTCAAATGTCAAACCTGTGACGATCTACCTGACCAGCAGTGGGAGATAAATCTCAAGGTGCGGCAGAAACATCGCGCGTTTCCATGCATTTGAATGCAATTTCAGTTCGCTTGCAGTGAGGATCCATTTGGCTGATGGAAGCACTAAGCAACAATCAGACCAGTTCCTGATGATCATGAGCGATTATGAAATGACATATTGCCATTAAGCAACCAGTTTCCCTCTTGAAATAGCCTTAAAACTTCTGGCAGCCAGCCTCTGGTCTCCTCTTGCTTTACCACGCCCAAGTTTACAAGTTTTGCAATGAATTAATTTAACAACTATGGAATAACTTTATTTTTTTACGACTGATAACCTCACAATTAAGACTCTGCTGTTGACCTGCCCAGCAACATTAGGTCTATAGATCATATTTTGGAAGTGAAACAACTGTAATAATAGAAAATAGAGTCTTTACTTCAGTTCATCCATCAGCTACCGTACCCACGTTATTACCAGAAGTAGCAGGGCGCTGGAGCCTTTCCCAGCTGGCATCAGATGAGAGGCGGGGTTCACCCAAGACAGATCGCCAGTCCATCACAGGCCAATTCAGGACTGCCAATTCACCTACCATCCATGTGTTTGAACTGTGGGGGGGTGGAGGCACAGTGACAACAGACAGCCGGACAGTGCTCACCACTGCACCACCGACCCTAGTGCCGAATCGTAACACAAATAGTTTTTCCACAGTGAGGCTACAACCTTCACTGCTGTAAAGAGCAAGCCAGCAAATCCCCCCTGGAGCAGCACTTGGTGTCAGCGGGGAAACTCCCTTTTAGGATAAAGAAACCTCAGACAGACCAAGACTCAGACTGCAGTGAGAAGAGAGCATAGAGAGAGCAGATGAGCATCTTCTTACGTTAGATTCCCCCGTTTAGAGTTTGAAAAACGTCAGCAGCAGCAAAAAAATAAATAAAAATCCCCAAACCAACACTGTCTACCTGTGACTTTTAAAAACTATTTCAAGATTCCCCTGTTAAAGCACTGCAGGGTTTGTCTTCTAGTCTGGTCCCTGAGGAGGACTTTGTTGGTAGCAGAAGGTGACCCCACGAGATCCAGCCAGAAATGCTAAAGCTGCAAGACAGTCTTTTAAATCCGTCTTTTGAAAACAAATCTTTTAGTCCTTTTTTCGAATGTTCTTTTAAAAGTGCTCTATTTGTCAGCGTCCAGATTTGTTAATTTCATAACTTATCCCGCTTGCGTAACTTGTGTACTCCCTTCTGTTTCTCGAGACGTCCTCCACGAGTGCCTTATGACCCCTGCGTCTCCTTCAACATTTCTCCATCCCTTTCACTCTCCATAACCCTCACTATCCCTTTTTTGTCTCTCCCAGATTGTCTCTGTGCCTCTCCCAGCTTCCTGTCTCCCTAATCCTTAATCCTGTGGAAATCGGTCAGGCAGAATGAGCCAGCTTTGATCAGGCCCTCATATCAGGCATGCTAACAGTGTCAGCACACCCGGATCCCACAGAACCCTGGAGCCCAAGGGGAGAGCTTCAAACAGGCGTTCACCCCCCGACTCTGCTTGAGAGGAAGGGGAAAGAGAGGCTGCAGAGTTCCTGTCTCAACTGCCGGCTCCGGGCTTTGACATAAGTCTTAAATTCAGCAGACATTTGCATCATGACTCGACACCGTTTAGCTGCGATGGCACCTATGCTTTTCCGCATGAACTGAACTTGCTGTGGGAAAAAGAGATCAGGAAACCGGCGGCGCAAAGCTGTTTGTGGCCGAAGAACAGCGCACAGTCCAGAGATATGAAAGTCACTTCTGCTTCTCTCAGTAGTGTCCTTGACAGCGAGCATGGAATCTGTGTCTTTGGTGTTCTGGTGCTGTGATCCACAGCCAGGGATAATATGTGGGAGGAATGTCTCAAAAACACCTGGTGATCTCGAGGCGCAAATGCATGAAAATTAACCTTCCTTACAAGGTCAGCTTTGTACCGAGCATCTAAAAAAGTCAGAAAAAGACACACAGACTGCATTATGCCAGAGTGATTTCTGTTTTGTGCTGACAAACATCCAACGAAGAGAATATGTTTGGAATGATCACTGCATTACAATAACTTGAGCAAACCTGCTGGTTTCACTTCAGGTTACTGTTTGAAGGAGGAAAACGGCGCAAAAAAATGCTTTTACTGACTTGGACTGAAAGCATGAAGTTATTCCAGAAGTATTGCAAACATCAGATAACTGAGTGTCTTGCCAGTGCAGTCTTTTAGTCATGGAGCCTCTCCAGACTTTGCGTACAGGTGCAGATGTCCTGAGTTGAAAAGTCTTGGTACGTATTACACACGGAGTACGATCACATAAACAAGTAATTGGCAGAGCATGTGACCTCGTAAAAGGAACAGAGAACCAAAGGTTTTCTCCCTCTTACAGCCTCATGACCTGCAGGTTGGAGCTCTCTGCAGATCTACAACAATATTGACAGTGTCCTCAGACTGCTCATTTAATCAGTCCAGAGCAGTAATCAGGTGCTTTAAATCAGCCAGAGAAATGAAGCATTTAGCAGGGTCAGTCCGCAGGATGTGCAACATGAGATATGAAATGTAACTACCTATCAGAGCAAACTCTGTTCTTCAGCTGGAAATGACTGAGGCAACACTTTTTTTAAAATGATAATATCACTGTTGTCATTATCTTGGTCTTTAGCTTGAAGAGTAAATTGTGCAACCATGCCCTAAGTCAGTGATCAGGTAGCTTCTTCCAAATAATGTAGAATACAAAGTTGAAGAAAATGGGACGAAAATACCAAGATGTTTCTCTAAATGGACGCAAAAATGCAGTGATGTAATGAATATAAATAGTTGCATGCATAACTCTTCTGCATGACTTGCTGTGTGGCGTCCAGTTCATTCTCATTGTGAATGCTGACCCCTAGTGGCCACAGTGATGTACTACACTGTTAAAATGGAAAAAAACGACCCCAGAGGACAAGCAGTTTACTACAACTCATACTTACATTTTATTGTACCACTGTCCTCTAGTGGCCATGGCAACTATGACAGGAGGAAGTGAGTGATGTATTTAAATTGGTGTTTGGCTGTTCTGACCCAGCCTCCCCTAATCCTAACAATCCAATCCCCCCAACCTTAAACACCAATCACAGCAGAGTGGCCTTCTTACTCTGTTCCTCTTTATACAATTTTGGATCAACTATGTAATTATCCAGCTGCACGGTCCTCGTGGGAGGAGGTCAGGGTGGATGGATGGGTGGGCAAATCACTGTGGTTTTTTTAACACAGGTGGCTGCTGATTCTTTCCCATGCTAACCTGATAATCAACATGTCTTTTAGCCATGACTGCTCCATAACCTTAACCCCATTTTTGTTCTTGTAACCATGGCAACAAAGATCCTCTTTTCTGTTTTCTTCTTTTTTAAAAAACCCAAACACAGATCTATCACAAAACCTAATCACAT